CCCCAACTCTCATAACAGTTACATGTATGAATACAGTATCTTTAACACATTTTCTTAACATCTAACATGTTTTCTTGGTGCTAAACATAGCCATTTGTTGATAGTATAAACTTCTTAGTCTGTGAATATAAGATACAGTATAAGAATCGTATCAGAATGTACTGTATAATTATTTGTGTTACTGTACATGTATTCTGTATGTTGAGGGACGTAAACTTTCTTGGGGTGGACTATCTGGGTAGGAACAAGTGACATGACCGTCTTTACAAATACTGTGGATTGATTTCAACTAAATGAAAACCTCTAAGGTTTACATTATGTTATCTCTCTAAAATAAAGTCCTTTATAAAGCACTTTTACCATTCTGGCACATATGGATCTAAGGAATACAATAATCCATATTCAGGACAATACTTGGAACTTTCATTTACAAGGTGTTGGATGGATGTAACGATGATATAGTGTGCAAAATAAAAGAGTCAGCTGATGGAAATTATATATAAACAAAATATATGCAGAACATGTTTCAGTACCCCATAATGCCCATATCTCTAACGCAAATGGTGGCACCGTATGATTGAGCATATATGATTAATAAAACCATACTCTAAACAATAATAAACTACAACAACAGGATTGGACGGCACTCTAAGCTAATACAGTGGTGTTATTAGATACAATTTATAAACTATGTTAAGCCATAAAATACAAAACATTTATAGACTTTATGTACAGGATTTTGTTTATGTATTTAGAAGACAGTTTCTCCCCCCCTCCCCAAGCTAGTTAAGGCTATACAGCATACCAGAGCTGGTCAGTATCAATTCCATAAGTGAACCTCCTTCCTCTGTGTGAGCTATGACGAAACAATGATCAGATTTATTTTATTTTGCTTTTACTTGCAAGACTTACAATGTGGAAAGTCTGGCGGAGGACCAGAGAGGACTACAGTACATTAATAATAAAAACAATATATACTAGTACAGTATGTTGTCTACTTTCTACAGGTGAATTGCGATAATTATGACACGCATAATGAAAGACAGTATCAATGAATGTGAATGATGATGAATAATTGTCAGACACAGAATGAGTTTCTAATGTAAATTTGAAAGATTTTGGTGGACTGTATTTTGTAATAATTATCCTTGCTAATGAGTTTATGACACCACAGCATTTTATAACACTTCAGATTATTTGAATAATTACACAAAATAACTATTACTTTACACCAAAGATTGTCTTAAATAATCTAAAATTGCAACAATTCATTATTAATTTAACTGTATTTATAATTTCTTATATATATATATATATATATATATATATATATATATATATATATATATATATATATATATATATATATATATATATATATATATATATATAGTGGTCCCTCAGTTAACGAGTACAATTCGTTCCAGAAGGTTGCTCACTAACCGAAAAATTCGTTAACTGAAACCATTGTTTCAATGGGTTTTTGGGTAATTGGTTCCAGCTCACCGAAAATTGCCTAAAGGCAACAAAAAAAGGTAGTAAAGTACACTTACTTTGAGGTGTGTATGTAGAAGGCTCCTGGATGATGATGCTGATGTGAATTTGAAGTAGCAGGTGGAGGAGGAGAAGGAAGAAGAGAAGGAAGTGGAGGTGGAGTTGGAGGAGAAGCATTTTACTGCTTCTTGGAAGGTGGGTCACTTTCCATGAAAATGTCAGGAACCTCTGGACTGACAGATTCTCCACCAGGAACATCCTCTCTCCTTCTTGAAGTGGAAGGCTGAGGGCTAGCATTTTGTTCCCACTGCCTTTTACTGAAGAAACTGTCAATTTTTGTCTGTGGGGCATCTCTCCTCATCATTAACTGATGTTTGACGAAGGACACCACTGTGTCCTCAACATGACACAAAGCTAGTTCAGACTTTTCCACATCTGGGTGCCTTGATGCCAGTTTCCTGAACTTCTCCTAGTGGTGAACAAAATCTTTCAACTCTGAAGTTGACATATGGTCATCACTTTCCGTTTCCTCCTCACCACTGTCAGCCTCTAACATCTCATCCAGTTGCTGCAAGTCATCTAGAGTAAGTTCCTGTTCATGAGACATCACAAGCTCTTCGACATCATCATCCTCCACTTCAAGGCCCAATGACTGACCAATGGACACAATCTCCTGGTGCAACTCTGTTTCATCCTGAAATCCCTCAAAATCATGGACTACTGATGGCCACAGTGCTTTCCATGAAGAATTGAGGGTTCTAGTGGAGACTTCTTGCCATGAGGACACAATCAATTTTACAGCCTCCAGGATGTTAAACTGTGTCTTCCAGAACTGTGCCAGTGTTAGTTCAGGATCAGTGGAAGTTGCCTGATGAAACCTCCTGAACATTTTCTTCATGTGCAACTTCTTGAAGTTGCTAATCTCATTCTGGTCCATTGGCTGTATGATTGATGTAGTGTTGGGAGGCAAAAACAACACTTTGACAAAGTCAAATTGAGAATCCAAAGTTCTGGCAAGTTGAGGGTCATGGCCAGGGGCATTATCCATAAGGAGAAGAGCCTTTAAAGGGAGTTTATTGGTGGTTAGGTAGCTCTTCACAGAAGGGCAAAACACCTCAACAGCCCATTCATTAAAGAGCTGTCTTGTTACCCATGCCTTACGGTTGGACTTCCAATAAACTCCAAGCCGTCCTCTTACCACTTTCTGTTGCTTGAACACCCTGGAATTCTCAGAGTGGTAGACAAGCATAGGCTTCAGTCAGAAATCCCCTGAAGCATTGGCACCAAGCAATACAGTAAAGTGAGACGGTCTTTCATGGGTTTATGCCCAGGTAAAGAGGCTTCATCTCTGGTGATGAATGTTCTTTTGGGCATGTTTTTCCAGAACAGCCCAGTGGAAGATAATTTTCTGTTTCCATCAGTCCTTCAAATTCCGCTAAAAACTTTGCTGCCCCTTCCTTATCAGCACTGGCAGCCTCACCATGCCTAACTACACTAAATATGTCACTTCTTTTCTTAAATTTTTCGAACCAGCCTTTGCTGGCCCTAAAATCTTCAAATTCTGTGCCTGAAGAACCAGGTTGATCTGTCTTTAAATGTTCGTAAATCTCCCTGGCTCTTTCACAAATAAATTCAGTAGAAACTGAATCACCTTTCATCTGTTTTTCCCTAATCCTGATGAGAAGTAACGTCTCTGTTTCTGCTATTAGGGATCTACCTTTGAACACTCTGGTAGATTTCTCTCTCACTTTCACTTCCTTGAATTTGTCTTTCTGTGCAAGAAGTGTCGACACAGTTGATGTCGACATGCCATATTCTTTGCTTAGCACATTTGTTCTAATGCCTTCTTCATGTTTCTTAATTATTTCCTGTTTCATCTGAATTGAAATCGCTTTTCTAGAGTTCTTGGGACCCATGCTGGATTCAAACACAATCTCAACACGTGAAATTTTTAGTTTAATTGCTGTAAATAAAGAATATTTTCTTTAAATTAACACTGCACTGCGCTATATATCATCAATATGTAAAATAAATTTCAAAATGACCAATAATTTGACTGAAAACACAGAAAAAAAGCGTTTATGTTGAAGAGACACAGAGACTGACACCTGTTTGGTGTGTTGACAGGCTGTTTGGCGTGCATAAAACTAGTTTCCTGTACTTCAATTATGTTCAATAATTTTTAAAATGTCTAAAAAATTTAATATAAAACTTTTAAAATGATTGAATAGTACAACCTTCTTGATATTTACTAAAATGGTAAGGAATTTAAGCCCTAGAACCGATTACTGTATTGGCGGACTAATCCGACAGCTAGTATGCAAGCGAAAACATGTTGCGGGCCGCTCGTAAGGAATTCGTTAAACGAGGGAATGCTCGTTAACCGAAGTTAAGATTCTTATGGAAGGAAATTGGTTAACCGAAATCTCGTTAACTGAGGTGCTCTTTAACTGAGGGATCACTGTGTGTGTGTGTGTATATATATATATATATATATATATATATATATATATATATATATATATATATATATATATATATATATATATATATATATATATATATATATATATATATATATATATATATATATATATATATATATATATATATATATATATATATATATATATATATATATACAGTGGTCCCTCGGTTAACGAGTTTACCTTCCATAAGTTTCTTACGAGCCGACCTGAACATGTTTTAGCTTGCATTTGGCGGTCCACCAGCTGTAGTATTAGTCCGCCAATACAGTATTAAATACAATATTAAATTTTTTAGTCATTTTAACAATTATTGAACATAATTGAAGGTAATGAAACTAGTTTTATGCGCCCCATCCAGCCTCTCAACACACCATAAAGGCATCAGTCTTTGTGTCTTTTCAGTGGAGGTAACATCTTGCTTGAGACTCTCTTCAACTAAACACTTTTTTTCTGTGTTTGCAAGCAAATTATTGGCCATTTTGAAATTTATTTTACATATTGACAATATATAATGCAGTGTAGTGTTGATTTAAAGAAAATAATCTTGAATTACACCAAGAGAACTAAAATTTTATGGGTGAAATGGCGCCATGGGGTGACTTCTCTTCCACCCCAATGCCTTCTCTTCTCCCTTCTCCTCCACCCCCATTCTAATTCCCATCATCATCATCATCATCATCCAGGAGCCTTCTACATACACACTTCAAAGTAAGTGTACTTTTCTACCTTTTTTGTTGAATTTAGGCAATTTTCGGTGAGCTGGAACCAATTACCCAAAAACCCATTGAAACAATGGTTTCAGTTAACGAGTTTTTCGGTTAACGAGCAACCTTCTAGAGCAGTTGTGCTTCATTAGAGACTACTAATTGTGTGTGTGTGTGTGTATATATATATATATATATATATATATATATATATATATATATATATATATATATATATATATATATATATATATATATATATATATATATATATATATATATATATATATATATATATACATATACACAGTATATGGGTATAAGTGAACATACAAATATCATTTACTGTACACTATATATACCCAAAGTTAACTGTAATTATAATATCATGTACAGTATATATTTAATTAAACTATATCGACATTAATGAAAACAGTCATTAGACTCAGCACTTCATATATACATGATGTGCAGAAGACACTGGGCAACAGGGTGATGAAGGCAAGTGGTACTTTATTTACCAACAGATAAGTCTCTTTAAAGATCTGCTACAGCTGAAGGTGGCGATGAGGTAGGAGAATGTATTATCACTCTCATGGAGATACTGTATTTTATTTTATTTTATTTGAAGTTGTATAAAACAATAGATGTGTGATAAAAGAGTGGATGATATCATGCTATGAAAGATGAAAGAGAACATAAATAGGAAGAACAAAATATGATGGATATGCATGATATTATTTATCAAGTAAGAAGGCAGTTAGTCAGGACTTTGGCCACCCTGCGCCTCAGTGAAAACAATGAGAAGGAACATTTCTGTACTGTAGAATGTAAAAATTATGTGTGAAAAATGTAAGACTCTTCTTTGATTTTTGTTATGTATTAAACTGACTGTTTCATATATAGCTGAAGATTTATTTGTTCCAAAAGGTCTAAATGATTATAACTGAGAAGAGGAAGACAAAACATAATCTTGTGTGGGTATAAGTGAAGCATCTATAATTTTTAAATAAATTAATGATTGAGAATCTTTAAATTGAAGGCCGGATCAAGGTTTGTTATTCTTTATATTTAATACATATTTTATGTATTACTGTTATCATCATATTTTATAATTTGGCAAGATAACTTAAAACAAGTGCGGCTAACTCTTATAATGTAATGTAATAGCATTTTTTCGACTAATATATCTATAGCGAGTAATTTTTGTATACGTATACAGTATGTTAAATAATACAGTCTGTTGCTCTCTAAAATAAGAAGTAGACCATTAAATATAAAACATAAAAGTGTTCCTGTACAGTATATGGTTGATTTAAAAAAAAAAAATGGGTTCTCGTCCTGTACTCAAACAACTCATTGTGCCTACATATGAATTACACAGGACATGTACAAGGTTATTCTGAAAGACAATATAGATGAATGAAGTTTGGGCCATAATGGGCTGATTAATTTTGAAATGTAGTGTATAGTAACAGGTAAATAATTGACTGTACTTTTCATAACTTAGCTCATTATCCTTTACACTCTCTACATTATCCTAGTAGCTGATGGATCTGTACACAGTTTAAATATAACCCACAGTTGCAATAAAATGTTATAATTTTAACTCACAGTGATTCCCTAATGTACTGACTGTTTCATTCACATTAATGAAAGTAAAGATGGGAAGACATCGCCCACTCATATCATAAAGAGTTTATAACAAAATAGTACAAATACCAAAGCTAACATCTCTTGTCTTTTTTCAAAGTTGTAGGACCATTTACCCCCTAGGATAAAAGGTCATTTCACATCAAGGTTTTAACAAAACAGTGATCAACTTTGTGCAAACTGCAGTAATGAACACTGTCAACTCTCCTTGTTTAGCAATACACATTCACATTTCATGAACTGATAACGTTATGTTTTATCACAATAATAAAAGTACAGCATATATGAGTGAGAAGTACGAGGCAAAGGGAAGAACATAAATTCCTAGTGAGATATTTACCTGACCATTAAGAGTTTTCTTTACTAACTACTAATACCTATGTTAGTCTTTTGGACAAACACTAATCAAGTCTTTTCTGATCATCTAAACCTCACACTGTTTAAAGGCAATAATTAGTGATTATAATGAGGCAACATTTGTCTTTAAAAAATAAAGTACTGTATGAGGACATCATATGGGAGTCATCACAAAAACTGTTACATCAGTCTTGGAGAAAATGTTTATGTGGAGCAGGTATGGTTGATTGCCCCCCCCCCCCCTCCCAAACTCTAATAGCTCTTATTACTCTTATTGACACCTCTGAAAACTAAGATGAAACCCTCTGTGCCTGCATTGGTCTCTGTGGATCTCTTAATAAGGTTATAAGGGGATGGGTTTCAGAATCTGCTGTATACAGTTCAACACTTATGTTGCCAAATGGTCCCTGTGTTATATAACTCTCCACCAACAGATGTAAGACTTAAATATATATTACATCCATTGCACCTTGATGAAATCACTAGGAACTAAATTACCTCTGAAAATTGTTAAGTAACTTTTTGCACATAGTGACACCAGAATTTATTTAGATGAATTTTCTTGTCCTGTCAAAGTCATAATAAAGATTATATTTTGCATATTCTTATCATACTAAAGTATAAATCAATAAAACAATATTTATATGTGTATGTAATGCTAACTCATATATGTTTTAAATATAGCAGTGAAACCTACCATGCTCCATGCCGTTCCTGATGACATACATTTTAGAATGCCTAATCCTAGCTTTAAATTCTAATGTGCCTCAAAAATATTTGTCTATTGATAGTGATGTCTCAGTCTTACTATACTTAATCTCTTACAGTATCCCTTAATCACAAAGTTCTGGTAATGCCATGACGTAAAGTTTCTTGACGTCAGTACAAATAATGATAGGCTAATAGGTTTATTGTCAAACATTTAAGCTGCATTTTTAAGGTTTATATTAAATTTTCTAAAAGGACTTTTAATTGCCCAGAAAAGTGGATTAAGTTTGTTTCTAAGTATTTTCTAAGATGGAGAACTGTCGGAGGTTTTCTTAGTGGGACTATAGAGACCTAACTTAACAGGTATTTCTTTTGGTTGTCTTGCTACATTCCTTGTTGGGAAAGGGTTAAATGTGATAGGTTTAGTAGGGCTCATAGCAATGGCGCTGTCATCCTTCTTGACGCTCTGTTTCCGCTCTGGTAAGAAAGTTTTAGAATTCTGAGGAGATACGACTTTATTTTGTGTGGTTACTCGTGACACCCCCACACGTGTACTAAAGCCAGAGGCCACTTCATGTGATTCACTAGTGGCTGCAGTGGGCACTACTTCACTTGGAACTGTTTTCATTACTTTATGACTTTGAGGTTCGACACTTTGATCACTTCCATTCTTTTCTTTAGCAGATTTAATGGATTGTGGTATATCTTTTGACTTCTCCATTTCCTCTTCTAAAGTTTCTATTCCCTCAACCAGAATATTAGAAGCTGTGTTTGTTTTTATAAACCTGGAGTCTTCTACAGATTTTTGTTTTAAAATTCTTTCAATAATTTCGGTGTTTTCCTTAACTAGTTCCTGCAGGGCTACTTCGCTGTTTCTTCTTTTGGGCATTTTCCTCTCACCTCCCTTCATATTTTTCCGTCTTGTACTCTGCTGTATGAGGAAACAAAATAGATTTGGATCAAGAGTAACGTCAGCATCCAAACTAAGTGACTTGACACCCTTCCACAATCTTTGCCGAATCGCTTCTGAGCTGAGATCTTTGCCATTGAAAAAGTCTGTTTCTGCCTCTGCTTCCAAGTCATCAGAGTTTTTGTCTTCTTTGTCTTCAGTCGGCCGACTACATGCACCAGCCTCCTCTTCTCCCTCCTCCTTCACCTCACTTGTAAATAAAGATATCCGACCTTCAAGTGATGCAGATAATGACGAATCTCTGTCTAAAGTTGGAACCGGAGATGAAGTTCCTTCTTCAAGAGTTGTCATCAAGGATGAATATATATCAGTTGATTTTTCTGCCGAAAATACATCCTCTTCTTCACCTTCAACTGCCAGCAAAAACTTACTACTGTCAGCAGGTGATGTAATGGGTGATAATATTCTGTCCCGAGATGTTACAGGTAAGCCACTTTCAACATTTTTCAACTCTGTTGACACTCTCTCATCCATACCAAGCAAAACTAATATTCTCTCCTCAAGTGAGAGTCCTGAAGATTGTCTACTCTCTACTTTTGAGTCTTTGTGTACTTCAACAGTTTCATCATAATCACACTTCGCTACAGCTGCTTCTGAAAATGTTGCTTCATCTTTTCCAATTAGAGACAAAATTTCATTCTCGAGAGATGTGTCAGGGTCCATTATCGTATCAGTGGTTTTCGAAGATTCCTCCGATGATAACCCTGTAGGGTATGAAGTTCCTGGATCAATTTTAACATTTGAATATGTCATTCCTCCATTTGGTGCTATGCTGAAGGTTAAGATACTGGTAGCTGGAGTTGTTGCTAATGAAAACTCTACTGTGGATGAACTCCCTTCTTTTGTGGTTATAGATGATAAGTCTTTAACTTCAGCTATATTTAGGGATGAAATCTGATAATCGGTTGATGTTGTCAGTAAAGGAAGCTCCTCCTTCTCTGTTAGAGAGGTACTGGTTGCCGGAGTTGTTATGTACGAGGGTGGACCAGTAACCAACGAGAAACTCTTTATGGATGAACAGGCTGGTTCTGTTGTTGTAGGTGGGGACCTATCAGTCTTAGGTTTATCCTCGGCACTCTGAAAATCAGTTGATGTTTTCAGTGAAGGAAGTCCAACACTTTCTGTTACAGACGTACTGGGAGATGAAGTCGTTATACCTATGGGCAGATCACTACCTCCTGGGAACCCTTCTTCTGATGTTGTCGGTGAGAACTCTTTACTATCAGATTTATTCACAGAGGGAATTTGGTAATCTATTAATGTTTTTACTGAAGGAAACCCATCTTTCTCTACTGGAGAGGAGCTTTCAGTTTTCAGTGCCTTCGCTAAGTGATAATCTTGAAGATTCACTGAAAAACCTGAACCAACTATATGTTCCGATGGAATAAAATCTGTTTCAACACCCTTAACAGCAATTTCGCTATCAATCTTATTTGAAAATGTTGAAAGTCCAGTGGGTAAAAGTGGAAATGTAAATACAGTATCAATAGGTTCTGGTGAAACTACAGTAGTAACAGTTGTTGTGGGTGAGACACAACTGCTTAGGGTCGTGCTTGTAAATGTACTTCCGTTATTCAAAGGTATAGTTCCTGATGTAGCAAGACTATCCAATATTTTTTTTGTAAGAAAACTCTCACTACCAACAACGTCCGTGACAGCTGGTGCACTACTGTATGTCTTTCCAAATATCGAAAATTCACTGTCTACGGTTGAAATCACAGACGTAGATTCAGCTTCTGAAGTTGAAATTACAGAAGAACTGATATTTTCTACAGAAACTGTTGTTGGAATTATTTTCCTATTCACGGTTACTTTTATATTTTCAGAGCCATCCTCTAAAACCTTTAACAGCGGTGTAACAGGACTGCTCTCTGGTGTTGCTGATGGTGTCATGTTGCTATTAACAGTCATGGTGAGAGAAGAAAGCCACGACTTGGTATTTAGTGCTTCTGTTGGGGTGCTTATACTTGGTGAAATACATCCTGATGTTTTTACTTTGATATCATGAACAGGTAATTCCAACTCTTCATCATCACCTGCTGTTTCTACTTTGACATCTCCAACAAGTGGTTCCAGCTTTTCCACAGTATCTGACATTGTTTCATCATTACCAATTGTCTGTTTGTCTCCTGTAGTCTCTGTAAGGCACAAAAATCCTGACTTCGTTGCAAAATCTGTTTGAACTTCTGAAATATCTGACTCGGTTTTTACATTTTCTTTTAATCTTTGACAAATGGCATCAAACACTCTTGATTCTGGGATTAGGGAATAGTTTTGTGTAGTAGAGTCACTGTCGGCAATGCTTACATCACTTCCATTAGTAGATTCTTGGAGCCAAGTGAACTCTTCTTTAGTACTGTCTGGATATAACTCACTGTCCCTTGGATCATCACATTTCTTTTCCAGATTATCAGATGTGAGAGGAAGCACTGATAACACAGGGTCTTTTTCCTCTACTAAACTCTCTTTTTCAGATGTGACTATCACATCCCCTGCACCATTCACCAAATTATCTTTGGGATGCACGGGAAGACCAGGACATATCTCACCCTTAAACGAAGTACTTTCTAAAGCACTATCAACTTGGAAACTAATATATGTTTCTGCTTCACATGGCTTTAGGTGGGAGCTAATAAAATTAGGATGGCCAGTGAAAATTTCAAATATATTACTCTTTTCATCCTCAACTGTGATCTTAGGAGACTTGGGAGGGATGAGAGAGACATCTTGTGTGGTGTCGGAGGTAGAAACAGGAGGTAGCTCCACCAGGGACAACTTAGTAAATCCTTGATGATCTTGACTTTGTGATGGGGAGAGGGCAGGGGACTTACTGGGTGATCTGGATGCTTTGCTACTGGGAGAGCCTCTTGGAGATGGTGTTGATGAAAGTGACTTAGAAGGGGATACATTCGGAGATGGCTTCGTTGTCAGGGAGGACTCATATCCAGGTTCTGGTGAAGAGATCCTTGGGATAGGGCTGTCCACTGGTGACCTCTCTGGTGTTACATTGTGCTGTGTGTTAGATGGGGATGATCCTTTAATACCTGGCCTTGATTGACTACTGAGTTTACTAGATCCTTCTGAACTCTCTTTCATAAAACTAACATCACTAGGAAATGGAAACCTCGCAATGATTTCAGCAGCTGTTAGATTCTTCCCAGCTAGTAGGTCTTCCAGAGGGATCCCTGTTCCCATGGATTTAAAGTCCCAAAGTGGAGGATCTGTTGCCATGAATACATCAGATTCTTGTTCTTTCAAAGTAGAGTTAAGATCTTCAGATTTAGACTCCAGTACGACTGTCTCTGTTGGGGTAGCAGTTAAGACTGTTTCTGGTTTTTCTTGTTCTTGAGAACCACCTCCTGCTTGATCTTCTTGTACTTTCGATACTGGAAGCAATAAATCCTTGGCTACTGGTTTTTGTTTTTTATCCTGATCCATTTCTTCTGTCTGGGATTTTTTGGATTCTGCTTTGGCCTTGCCATTCTCATGAACTGTCTCAAGACGTGGGGAGGTGGTGGCAGGTCGAGGCTCTGCGGATGGATCAGCTTCCAGGTCACTCAGCTTGTCCTCCTCTTCATCGTCATCACACAACTCGGTAGAGGTGCTGCTACCATCATCATCGTCATCTGTGGAAAATATAAGTATGAGACACAATTTTAATATTACAAATACAATAGTTAATAAATACTGCAGAGTGATAAAGTTTGATAAGGGAGAGTAAATTAGCACTTTTACAATTTTTAAACTGTCGATGCAGGTTCCCTTGCTTGTTATGGAAAAGGTTGCTCCTCGTGTAACGAGGATGGCCGGCCCAAGGGCCACCTAGGTGTCAATTTGTTTTGGGTGTAGAAGCTGTCGCTAACAACAACCACAAACTGTGTTAATGAGCTGCATGACCCAGTATCAAGGAATAGTTCGAGAAGACCGGACAGCTCGCCAACTGCATTGGCTAACCATGCCCCGGTATATGATCAGCAAATCGATTAACATCCAAGTACCCAATTACTGCTGGGTAGAAAGAGGCAAATGGCATAAAGAAACTTGCCCATAGTTTCACCCTGGCCGGGGATCAAACCTGGGTCTGCTCGCTTACAAGGCAAGCATGCTGACCCATTACACCACAGGTCCTATAGCTCTATGTTGTACAATAACAAGTTTTAAAAGGTTCTTTTATGAAATTCTCCCAGTTACATGTATTATTGTAATAAATAAGGAAATGAGATATAGGAATAATGGAACTACTGTACTGTAAAAAAAAAGAAGAGAGAAATGGTATTGGCACTTTTCAGGTAATTACAGTGAATACAAAGATTGATAAAAATAGTGGAAAAAAATTAAAATAAATAAAGACTAGCAGAATTGGCTGGGCGGTAAAGCCAACTACTGTATTGAGGCAAAAGGACATGACTGATAAGAAAACAGGAATTGAGAAAACTAGTAAGAGGGAGATTGAAAGGCCAGGAAGGAGACGGAAGAATGGGATGGAGCCAGAACGAGAAGGGAAGGGACAGATAGCCAGGAGGAAGGAGTGTGTGTAAATGAGCAGAGTAATTTAAGGGGATGGCTATACTGTTGATGGGTGATGCAGACTTGTGTAAGATGACGGGGTTACACCAGATCTGTAGCTTTGTTGTGAAAGTAAGATCAGAACAAAGCACATCTTTTGCAGCATTAATTATGAATGGATGATAGGAAATGAAGGAAATGTGTGTGTGTGTGTGTGTGTGTGTGTGTGTGTGTGTGCGCCATAGTGGAGTTGCCTCACAATGGCGATGAATTTTGGTGGGCAGCCAAAACGGCTCATATCATTGTATTATAACTGGATGATCGTCATACTTGATTCCGAGTGACAGCAAAGTAGTAGTGTGTGTGTGTGTGTGTGTGTGTGTGTGTGTGTGTGTGTGTGTGTGTGTGTGTGTGTGTGTGTGTGTGTGTGTGTGTGTGTGTGTGTTTGGTCTTTACCAACTATGCTGCATTAACCGTGAAAAGACTTGAAAAGATAAAATTAATGACTTTGATTTCCTTTAGAAGTGCTCCCCATTTTTTCTTCTGATGAGCCTTAATTAAATTGACATTCCAAAAGAATGTTTTAAAATAATCTTGTCCATTACTCTGAACATCAGGTGATGGGGAAGACTTTGACTAAGACATAGACGATGAACATAACTGGATTGCGCTGCAGTCTATCTCTTAAAATATATCTTTTCCGTTCTATTTTTTATTGTGAAATGAGTACAAAGTATGTGGGAGAGAAGTGTGTTAGTAGAGATAATAGACGCCTTGGAGGAAACTCAGCTCTGGCCACCTTACAGGGTAGTGGGAAACGGTGTACTGTACAGTATAGAGGCATCTAATGGATAAAGTTTTTCTCAGCTTAATGAAGGCAGTTATTTTTCCTCTACCATAAATCTCCTCGCCCATCTCGGAAGGAACCCCGAGTGTGCCCAGGCTTGGTGTGGTGCCGTCTAGTAACTTGACTCCAGAAGGTAGGGAGGCTCGCCGGTCCCTCCTGGGGGTGTCCTTCCAATGGAGAGTTTCCACTTTAGGAGGAGCCTGGGAGCTGCCCGGGAGCCGCTTTAGGGTCTGGTGGGGGCTGCGGAAGGATGCTGTAGACTGTAGTGGTTGCTTCTGTTGTTGTGGTTGTTGTTGTTGTGGGGTAGATCGTGTGCCAGTCGAGTCACTCAGTTTCCGTTCAGCCTGTGGGTCACCAGTGAAATATTAATACTGTACTATGAACTACTTAAAAATTTAACATGACCAAATAAAAACTAATTCATGTGTTTGGTTCTGTAAAGTTTTGGGAACATGTGAAGATCAATCCCCTCCTTATTTCAATGTAAGATTAAACACACTGATGCTAACCTATCTTAACCTAACCTAATATAAATCAAACCTATCTTCTTAAATAAAATCTAACCTAACCAAACCTAACCCACCTCCAGATAGTATTAGGGTGTTTAATCATCAGGTGAAATAAGCTTGGGGATGGAATAATCTTCAGGTGATTTAATTTATGGAGTAAAATAAAAAGAGATCACTAGGTCCTGATACATCCTGAATCTACCTTCTTTTCTTTTTTTTACAATAAATCCAATAGTTCTAATATTAGTTCACCAGACAATTACTAAAGAATATAACCATCATTTGTTACCAATTATTTTTGTATGTTTAAGTCAAAGGAAAGGGAGGAAAATAATTGCAAGAGGTGTGTGTGTGTGTGTGTGTGTGTGTGTGTGTGTGTGTGTGTGTGCGTGCGCATGTGTGTGTGTGTGTGTGTGTGTGTGTGTGTGTGTGTGTGTGTGTGTGTGTGTGTGTGTTTTGCCTTTTTATTCTGGACACCATTATAACTGGAGAAAGCTTGAAAGACACAATAAGTCCTATTGTAACTATAACTGTATAAGATAAAAAATACATATTTTCTCTCCCCGACCCTCATAAAAAAACCCCTAAATTGGCCAAGTAAAAAAACAAAAACAGTTATCTTTACCACAAAATACACAACGAGCACTATCATCTTTCTACCAAAGCCGTGTGTAGTGTTTCACCTTTTCAACCCGAACAAAAGATAACCTGATATCTGCATTCCAATTACGTAAATCTTTCCCCTTAGTACAATACAGTAGAGGTCATCTGATCTGCCAACAACAATAATACCTACCATGTGACCCCCCAACCATAAGCTGAAGTACAGTAATAACAGTTCATTAATTTCTACCTGACAGATGGTAGTTCTTCATTTCCTTTCCTTGAATATAACACATGAAGTTAATATTGTCTTTTTTGGGGGTTGAGTTTATCGGTTCCCTGCAAAATTTGGTTAGGTTAGGTTAGATTAGGTTAGGTTAGGTCTGGGTTTGGTTACGGGTATGTAAGCTTTGGTGAGGCTAGGTTCGATTATATTAATATTGGGTTAGATTATGGGTATGTTTGAGTAAGCTAGGCACATGTACAAATTAAGGACATAGATAGATTACCTCAGGTTATATTGGATTGGGGTAAGTTGATGGATAAGTTAATTCAGGTTAAGTTAGATTAAGTTATGTGATGTCAGGTGGATAAGTTAAGTTGGGTTAGATTATGTTACGTCAGGTTCATTTAGGCACAGGCTCAAGTTTCACCTTCTTCTTGGGTTTGATGACAGGGATGACGCCCTTTGGTACCACCCGCCGGGTCTTAGAGGTGAGGGCCTTCTTGCCTCTCAGTAGGTGGTTCATGGTGAGGGGCGTCGACTTGTGGCCACCGCTCCCAGAATTCGAACCCACGCCACCCAGGGTCGAACTCATCCGCTGCTGAGACGCTGAAAAAGATGTAATTATATAGTACAAGTGTTGTGGCTGAGGCATGACGATGACGTAGGTGAAGCAGATGGATGCCTTGACCTATATGAACAAGATAAGGTGATGTAATAATGACTTGCAGACTTGATAAATTTGTCATTTTCAGGTCAAATTTGGCAAATTATCATATCTAGTTAATGACTCTGCAACTAAGGACAGCAGATCATATTTAACCTTCCTGGCCTCGGAGAAAAAACCAACAAAATACAGACGCAGTACTTACATAGAGTTATGGCTGAAAATGTTAACCAAGGATAATTATCAAAATGTTTATGAGATATTTTTTTTCCCCTTTTAGGTACAGGACACTAGGTATTAAATAATTTAGATCATACATGCAGTGAAAGACGACACACTTCCGCTAATATACTGGCAGCGCTGTTTGAGACCTGCCGAGTCGCGCTTACAGACACAAACTCATCCAGAATCCCACTGACTGAGAAATTCATTTTGTTTTCCCTTCTTGGATAGAGAAATCATTTCTTAATACCGCTATCTGATCCATATAAAGGGACTGTTTATGCCCATTCACCTCAATATACTACGAGGTTAACAAACAAATTTCTGCCATATCTCACAAAACCCGCCAGCCACTGTACCAGGTATAAGTGCAGGCGACTGTACTGTTACTGTTTACCTGTACTATAGTGCTGTACCTGTTCTACTGTGTGTGTGTGTCTACCTGTTTTATAGTGTGTGTGTGTGTGTGTGTGTGTGTACCTGTTTTATAGTGTGTGTTATTTTTTCTGTTGTGTGTGTGTGTGTGTGTGTGTGTGTGTCTGTACTGTCGTGTGTATCTAACTGTACCATTGCGTCTGTAACTGTACCATTGCGTCTGTAACTGTACCTGCGTCTGTAACTGTACCATTGCTTCTGCTGTACCACTGTCTGAATGACTGACGAAAGACTGACAGAAAAAAATAAAACGAAGTGCTGAAATTATCACAGAACGACCGATACATCAATGGCGAACTGGATTAAAATATTTCAAAGAATTTTAAAAAGACCTGAGATTAAAATCGTAGGTGCGGGTCAGTACACGAGAGGGGGAGGAGATAAGTGGTGGCCCCGTGTGATGGAGGCTCACAGGTGCTCTTCACTCAATGGTGCTCGAAATTTTTGAGGTGCTAGTGCTTAATCTATGACTTCTATTGCTCAATATTCACATTTATTTGAGTGAATTTTGCAGAAAAAAAGAGCCCCTCGTGTATATCAGTTCAGTGTCCGTCTGTATAAACTGTTTATATTTCAGTAACTTCAAAAAATCAACTTGTGGATTGATATGAAAGTTTGATAGGATATTATTGATGGCCAGGATGAGTGTGACCTTCAGCAGACGTTATTAAATATAGCTACGATTCCTTTATAATTCTGATATTCTTGGGGGAATCAATTTATCTCACCTTAAGTACTTATTTGTCCTCATCTCAAACATCTCGTACAGAAACAACAAATGAACTTACATGCATAAAAAAGTCAATCTAGTATCCATGCACAGACGAGTACATAGATAAAATACATACACAAGACGGTCTATATTCCAAAAGGCAAGTCTTCCTAGGAGTTTACACAGACAAAAGGCAAGTCTTCCCAGGAGTTTACACAGACAAAAGGCAGTCTTCCTAGGGTTTACAGACAAAGGCAAGCCCTAGGGTTTTACACAGACAAAGGCAAGTCTTCCTAGGAATTTACACAGACAAAGGAAAAGTCTTCCTAGGAGTTTACACAGACAAAAGGCAGAATCTTCTGGAATTTTACACAGACAAAAGGAAAAGTCTTCCTAGGAGTTTACACAGACAAAAGGCAAGTCTTCCTAGGAGTTTACACAGACAAAAGGCAAGTCTTCCTAGGAGTTTACACGAACAAAGGAAAAGTCTTCCTAGGAGTTTACACAGACAAAAGGCAAGTCTTCCTAGGAGTTTACACAGAATTTAGCACCTCCTCTCCTCCACCACCCACGAGTCATGGTAACTCTCGGTGGAGACCTGTTCTATCTGGGTCATCTATTGATTTGACCAAGTCTATCTTAGCATTTGTGAAGTTGTGTGTGTGTGTGTGTGTGTGTGTGTGTGTGTGTGTGTGTGTGTGTGTGTGTGTCCCCAAAAAAGTGTTCCGGATACACACACACACACGTTCCAAAAAACAGTATCGTGCTAACTTCCAACACCTCTTTATGTGACCCGACAAGACGATACTGAAGTAGTGTATCAGAGGTAAGCTTATATCAGTGTCGTGTGTGGGGCGCGTTACCCTGGTCAACCTTCTCTTCAACGGTTGAGTGACGTGTTTTTTTGTTTACACACTAGTTAAGAGTGAAGAAAGTTATTAAAAGAATATGTGAACCTCTACAAGTGAAAGTATTAATGAGAAAAACAGTATTTTGGTCTGATAATATCTCCTGTTTACACGCTGAGAACCCAGATACCCCTTTAACCTACAGTAACTCTCTCCTCTCCTCCACATCCACCCTTAACCTCTCTCCCTCTCTCCCTCCACATCCACCCTCAACCTCTCTCCCTCTCCCTCCATCCCTCAACCTCTCTCCCTCTCTCCTTCCCATCCACCCTCAACCTCTCTCCCCTCTACATCCACCCTCAACCTCTCTCCCTCTCTCCCTCCATTCACCCTCAACCTCTCTCCCTCTCTCCTCCACATCCACCCTTAACCTCTCTCCTCTCTCCCTCATCCACTTAACCTCTCTCCCTCTCCCTCACACCCACCCTCAACCTCTCTCCTCTCTCCCTCACATCCACCCCTTACCTCTCCCTCTCTCCTCCATCCACCCTTAACCTCTCTCCCTCTCTCCCTCCATCCACCCTCAACCTCTCTCCTCTCTCCCTCCACATCCACCTCCAACCTCTCTCCTCTCTCCCTCCACATCCACTTAACCTCTCTCCCCCTCTCCTCCACATCCACCCTTAACCTCTCTCCCTCTCTCCTCCACATCCACCTCAACCTCTCTCCCTCTCTCCCTCCCCATCCACCCCTCCCCTCTCTCCCTCCCTCCACATCCCCAACCTCTCCCCTCTCCTCCATCCACCCTCAACCTCTCTCCCTCTCTCCTCCACATCCACCCTTAACCTCTCTCCCTCTCCTCCCATCCACCCTCCCTCTCCTCCTTCCATCCACCCTCAACCTCTCTCCCTCACATCCACCCTCAACCTCTCTCCCTCTCTCCCTCATCCACCCCTCAACCTCTCTCCCTCTCTCCCTCCACATCCACCCCCTCAACCTCTCTCGCTCTACATCCCCCCTCAACTCTCCCTCCCTCTCTCCCTCCACATCACCCCTCAACCTCTCTCCTCTCTCCTCATCCTCAACCTCTCTCCCTCTCTCCCTCTTCCCATCCACCCTCAACCCTCTCTCCCTCCACATCCACCCTCAACCTCTCTCCCTCTCTCCCTCTACATCCACCCTCAACCTCTCTCCCTCCTCTCCTCCCATCCACCCTCAACCTCTCTCCCTCTCTCCCTCCACATCCACCCTCAACCTCTCTCCCTCTCTCCCTCCCATCCACCCTCAACCTCTCTCCCTCTCTCTCCCTCCCATCCACCCTCAACCTCTCTCGCTCACATCCACCCTTAACCTCTCTCCCCTCTCTCCCTCCACATCCACCCTCACACTCTCTCCCTCTCTCCCTCCCACATCCACCCTCAACCTCTCTCCCTCTCTCCCTCTACATCCACTCCCTCTCCCCTCTCTCCCTCCACATCCACCCTCAACCTCTCTCCCTCTCTCCTCCATCCCACCCTCAACCTCTCTCCCTCTCTCCTCCCACATCCACCCTCAACCTCTCTCCCTCTCTCCTCTACATCCACCTCTCCTCTCTCCCTCCCATCCACCCTTAACCTCTCTCCCTCTCTCCCTCCCCATCCACCCTCAACCTCTCCCTCTCTCCCTCCATCCACCCTCAACCTCTCTCCTCTCTCCTCCACATCCACCCTTAACCTCTCTCCCTCCATCCACCCTCAACCTCTCTCCCTCTCTCCCTCCATCCACCCTCAACCTCTCTCCCTCTCTCCCTCCATCCACCCTTCTCCTCTCTCCCTCTACATCCACCCTCAACCTCTCCCCTCTCTCCCTCCCATCCACCCCTCAACCTCTCCCTCTCTCCTCACATCCACCCTTCCTCTCTCCCTCTCTCCCCACATCCACCCTTAACTCTCTCCCTCTCTCCTCCCACATCCACCCCTCAACCTCTCTCCTCTCCCTCCACATCCACCCTCAACCTCTCTCCTCCCATCCACCCTCAACCTCTCTCCCTCCACATCCACCCTCAACCTCTCTCCCTCCACATCCACCCTCCAACCTCTCTCCTCCCACATCCACCCTCAACCTCTCTCCTCCATCCACCCTCAACCTCTCTCCCTCCACATCCACCCTCAACCTCTATCCCTCTCCACACAAAAAAATACCTCTTCTTCCCCTCTCCCTCCATATGATTAGAATCGCCTATTTTACATATAATTACCATATTGATAATAACCCCCGGGCCAGGTATCTGAAGCATCATTTATCCTGTCCCTGAAGGCCACGTGGGTGTTGGTTTTACCTTTGTTCTCTCTCTCTCTCTCTCTCTCTCTCTCTCTCTCTCTCTCTCTCTCTCTCTCTCTCTCTCTCTCTCTCTCTGTCGTTAATCTTTCTTTTCTTTCATGGTATTCTTCTCATCTTTTTATTCCTCCAGTTTTATTAGTCTCCTTCCTCTTCCTGCTTCCCTTTGCTCTCCTCCTCCTCCTCTTCGTCGTCTTCTTTCCCCTCCAGTTATTCTCACTCTCCTTCATTCTCCCGCTTTTCGCCACTGTCTTCCTCTTCCTCCCATTATTTTGCCTTCTTACGACTGTCTTTCCCCTTCTCTCTATTCCTCCTGTCCTTACTCTCCTTAGTTCTCATTGCTTTCTTCCTCCTCCTCCGCTTCTTCTCTTCGCTATAGCAATTTTCCCCCTGCTCTCCTCCCTACGTCTCTCTTCTTCCCTATTGAGACACCTATCTCTCTTAAGCCTCTCCCTTCCCATTTCTACCTCTTACCACCACAACACCCTCTCTCTCTCTCTTCCTCTCTCTTCCCCTTCCTCTCACCATCACGCTTCCCCACTTTCCTACCTCGTATCTCTCTCTTCCCCTCCCCTCCTCACCCCCCCCACCCCTAGCTCCTCATTTTCCTTAATTTGGAGTCCGTCATTTCTCACCCCCTACTTCTTACCTCCCACTCCGGCCCCTCTCCACCTCTTGCCCTTCACCTCCCCACCATGGCCCCTCCTCCCACCTCCCACCCCCCTCATCTTTACCCTTACCTCTCCTCCCTCTATCCCCTCCTCCACCTCCACCCCCATCCTCACCTCCCCACTCCCCTGGTCCCCTCCTCCTCCCCTCCCCCCATACCTCCCCCCCCTCCTCATCTCCTTCCCCTGCATAGCCTGAGAAATCTACTGAACGGTGACAAATTTTGTAGGTGTGAAGTTAATCAAATTAGTTTTTAAAGGGAAGAGCAGTGAAGCAATACGCTGAGGACGTGTGTGTGTGTGTGTGTGTGTGTGTTTACTTTATTGATGTAATACACGAACACCTGTGATAAAGTCAACGTTAAGTCAGGTTAAGTTAGGTTAGGTTAGATCAGATCAGGTGAGGTCAGGTCAAGTTAGCCATCAGGGTCATATGTTAGGACGAGTCATTATGGCACAGGGTACAAGCTGTTTACTTAATAGTGACACGTGACCTTATTTACCCAACAATGACAACAGAAAATACATTAGATAATTTGTTATTAGTGTAAAATTAGTTTCGCGGTCAGGATATGATGATGATGATGATGATGATAATTTTATTATTAGCATCATCATTATTTTTTATGATTATAATTTATTATTATTATTATTATTATTATTATTATTATTATTATTATGACACAAAGTAAACAATATCCTGACACAGGTAAATAAAAGAGACAGGTTCCTTAATTAGTATACTCACCTGTCAGGATGATGTGTGCCTGTTTCTGTCTCTCTCTCAGGCGGGCGTACTGCTTCTTCAGGGCCGAGATGTCCAGGTTTGGGCGTGTGATCTCTCTCCCCTCGTGGGCGTGGCGGGGAGAAGGATAGGCCAGGGGCGTGAAGTTGATGGGGGAAACAGCTGACCCTCCTCCTACAGGTGAGGGACCCCGATTGGCCTCCAAGTCTGGGGGAGGGAAACTGGAGTGGTGAGGGAGGCTGGTGATGGTAGGGAGGGAAGGAGGGAGGGAGGGCGAGGGTGGTGAGAAGGGTTGGACTCGTCGGGTGAAGGGAAAGGACGAAGGAAAGGAGTGATGGGAAGGGATGGTGGAGTGGAGGGATGGGGTGACAGTGAAGGATTGAGTGTTGGGATGGATGGAAGGAGTTTGTAGGATGGAAGGATGAAGGGAAGGACAGGGAAGTGAGGGGGAGAATGAGGGGATAAGAGGAGAGTGAAGAAAAGGAAGCGAAGAGGAATGGGAGAAGGGGGAGGGGCGAGGTGAAGGAGGCAAGGAAGGGAAGAAGGTGAGAGATATAGCAGGAGGGAGAGGGGGCCATTGTGCGTGTTTCACTTCTCTGTGGAAATGGCCATGTACAGGGAGCATGTCATGGGCTGTCATGGTGGAGGTACTTCCCCAAACTTAAATCTTCATACCTAAAACCTTAAGACCACTTCCCCAAAACTTTAAACTACTTCCCCTAAGCGAATTTTACTTTTCCAATTTTTCCAACTACTGTCTTCCCACCCTTTACCCCCAAATAGTCACTTTCCATTACTACCACATACTTTCCCAGATAAAATACGGCGGCCGAGTAGACACAGTATTCATTATTTCTACTCTAAAGATTCAATGCTTCGATTCCGGGGGCACTACTAGTCTAACCAGCTGTAAATGGATACCTACTTTTACAGTTGGGGGAATGAACGCCATCGAGTGTAGTGTTGGTCAAGCTACCTCAGAGATTATACTGAAGGATTAATGTATGTTATATAATGGACTGTTTCTTCTCGGCAGTTGTCTCACTCTGTCATTATAACCTAAGACACACACACACACACAAAAAAGTATCCTTACCCCTTGTACCCATGAGAATCAACTCACTCTTCCTGAAGATACCAGAGAGACCGAACGCCGTGGCTACTGCTATCTTCTGGTCGTCTTCATCGTTGTCGTAATCGTCGTCGTCGTCCGAGTAGAAGAGACGCAGCCCCCGCTTGGCCACGGACGACACCGACTGGGTCCAGGGAGTGATGTTGTACGTGTACTTGTCACGCAGCTCGGCCAGTCCAGGGAAAGGGAAGGGCGCCATACACACCACAGTCTGAAGGTGGAGGAGGTGGGTAACATGTGGAGAGTGAGAGGGTACACTGGGATATGTGTTCACTTTGGCTTTATACAGAGAGAGAGACCCACCACTGCACTGCTGCCTGTAAGGGGAGATACTGAAATATGGATGGTTGGACCCGTAGAATTATTTAATACAAGTACTGTACTTAGTGTATTTCTGTATAATATACTATGTTGCATATTATACACACACCTATGAAGACATTCCCCAACAGCCTCTCTCTACCTCCCTCCACCTCCCCAACACCCTCTCTCTACCTCCCTCCACCTCCCCAACACACTCTCTCTACCTCCCTCCACCTCCCCAACACCCCTCCTTCCCACCTCCCCAACACCCCTCTCTCTACCTCCCTCCACCTCTCCAACACCCTCTCTCTACCTCCCTCCCTCTCCAACACCCTCTCTCTACCTCCTCCACCTCCCCAACACCCTCTCTCTACCTCCTCCCACCTCCCCAACTTACCCTCCTTCCCACCTCCCCAACCACCCTCTCTCCTCCTCCACCTCTCTCCAACAGCCTCTCTCTACCTCCCTCCACCTCCCCAACACCCTCTCTCTACCTCCCTCCACCTCTCCAACACACTCTCTCTACCTCCCTCCACCTCTCCAACACACTCTCTCTACCTCCCCCAACGCACTCAGTCTGATCAACAAGAAATAAATGAAACTCATCAATCGTCTCACAAGGAAGGACAAATTTCTAATGATGTTGACAAAACATCTCAGAGTTAATTAATTTGATTACAACCCTTTTATGAAGGCCCGTCTCCCTATCTACCTAATAGAGACTTGTTAACCTAACCTAACCTAACCTAACCTAACCTAACCTAACCTAACCTAACCTAACCTAACCTAACCTAACCATACCATCTCGACGTCCCTTTCACATCACTTGACCGAATATGTTCAAACTTTATCGTAAAAATTCTCCGAGTTATTTCGGTGTCCAATGTTCATCGCCTCACTACCGACTTAGTGTAACGAAGTGCATCTTTAAGTTAGTCTACTTGATGGTCTTACATGTTTCAGGTAAGTGTTGTGATGAAGACCCCACGACATTTCAAGATTTATATTTTCCAAGGTAAATATTAACTAAATTCCCACAGACTTGAAATATATTGATAAATGACCAAGCGACTACGTAGGCATATCTCTAGTCGCTTAGCTAACGATTTCCAGATATCTTCGTCATCTTCCCTCAGTGTATCCCGACAGGTGTACAGGTGGGTAGCGGTGAGGCCCCTTGACAGTCACCCCAAGAGTTCACACGACCTCCTCGCAGGGAAAATGACATGACAGACATACACTCCACTACCTACTATACCTCCTTCAACATATGCCCACTTGACACCCTGATGTCCCCATTACCCTGTTCTTTCTTAACTTGGCATTATTCTCAAGGCGATCCGGCGGCCATTAGCGGAATAAAAGAGCCAGTGTCGTTAACTTTTATACGCGAGGAACAAAAATCAAATTAGATTTTCTACATAATTTATGACCCTAAAGGCGTATGAGAGCAGCCATTAAGATAATGTTCTCCCCTGTAAAGTATCATCACTTGTTTTATACTTAATACAGACCTTCAACTTTCTACTCGGACCTCACTGTATTTGGTTGGTTCGTAGTTTTGAAATGGGATTACAGTGAAGCTGGTACAGAGACAGATAGACTGACAAAGAGGGATAGATAGACAAAGAGGGATAGATAGACAAAGAGGGATAGACACAAACAGATGAAGTAACAGATGTGTAACAATATTATACTTGTTGACAAAGAGAGAATACGTTTATATAATTGGTAACGTGAGTCTTATACTGTATTGACTGACTGGTAACTATACACCAGGTACTACATCTACCACATACTACCATACACAAGCACATACTCCCATACAGTACACTATCACATACTACCATACACAAGCACATACTACCATACAGTACACCAGCACATACTACCATACACTATCACATACTACCATACACAAGCACATACTCCCATACAGTACACCAGCACATACTCCCATACAGTACACTATCACATACTACCATACACAAGCACATACTCCCATACAGTACACTATCACATACTACCATACACAAGCACATACTCCCATACAGTACACCAGCACATACTACCATACACAAGCACATACTCCCATACAGTACACCAGCACATACTCCCATACAGTACACTATCACATACTACCATACACACAAGCACATACTCCCATACAGTACACACTATCACATACTACCATACACAAGCACATACTCATACAGTACACCAGCACATGCCTACATACCCCTAGCACATACTCCCCTTGCTGAGTACACCAGCACATACTCCCCCATACAGTACACTATCACATACTACCATACACAAGCACATACTCCCATACAGTACACTCCATCACATACTACTGCAAGCACATACTCCCATACAATTACACCAGCACATGTTTTACCATACACAAGCACATACTCCCATACAGTACACCAGCACATACTCCCATACAGTACACTATATCACATACTACCATACACAAGCATACTCCCATACAGTACATATCACATACCATACCTAGCATACTCCCCACTTACAGTACCTTTTATGCCTATACACAGCATACTACCATACACAAGCACATACTCCCATACAGTACACTATCACATACTACCATATGCAATCACATACCACCATACACTACCACACACCACCAAATACTACCATAATGGTTGGCCCTCGTGTAACGAGGATGGCCGGCCCTAGGGCCACCTAGGCGTGAATTTGTCGAAGGTGTAGAAGCTGTCGCCAACACAACAACCACACCCTGAGTTAACGAGTTGCATGACAGTGTCAAGGAATAGTCCGAGAAGACCGGACAACTCGCCAACTGCACTGGCTAACCATTACCCCGGAATACGATTCGCTAATCGATTAACATCCAGGTCCCCAATTACTGCTGGGTAGACAGAGGCAAATGGCGTAAAGAAACTTCCCCATAGTTTCACCCTGCCCGGGGATCGAAGCCGGGTCCATTCGCTTGCGAGGCGAGCATGCTGACCATTACACCACAGGTCGCCACACTATACCATAAACTAGCACATACTACCATACACCACCACATACTACCACACTCTACCACATAATAGGTTGGTTGGTTAGTTTGTTAGTTGAGGTTAGGTTATGTTATGTTATGTTATGTTATGTTAGGTTAGGTTAGATTAGGTTAGTTGAGGTTATGTTATGTTAGGTTAGGTTAGTTGAGGTTATGTTATGTTAGGTTAGGTTAGTTGAGGTTATGTTATGTTATGTTATGTTAGGTTAGGTCAGTTGAGGTTATGTTATGTTATGTTATGTTAGGTTAGGTTAGTTAGTTAGTCTAAATTAATCACTAAAAGACTCGTTAAGTTTATCTACATCCGGAATTTTTTCTATGAAGCTTGTAGTGATGAAACACCTGTGGCCACCTGACACGTCCACTCAGGGTCGTCCATGACAGCGAGTCTGACTTCCCTCTCTCTCTCTCTCTCTCTCTCTCTCTCTCTCTCTCTCTCTCTCTCTCTCTCCGTTTCTCTCTCTCTGTCCTTTTCCCTTTTCATTCTCTCTCTCCTTCTTTTGTACTTTTCTTCTCTCTCTTTCTAACCCTCTCTCTCTGTCAGCTCCTCTCTCTCCCTCATTTCATTCTCTCCTTCCCTTACCCCCTTCTCTTCTACAAGTACCTGGGCTAGGATCGTCACCTCTCCTACTCTCCTCCCTATTTCTCCCATCCCCACTCTCCTCTCTCCCCATTCCCCCTCTCCCCATCCCCACTCTCTCTCTCTCTCTCTCTCTCTCTCCATCCCCTCTCCCATCCCCCCTCTCTCCCCTACCCGCCTCTCTCTCCTTCCCCTCCCTCCCTCACCCTCCCCTCAAACTAATGGTGCTGGATACCACCTTACACGACGTCTGGAGTAATGGAGGCCCTCAACCCCTTCTCCTCCTCCTCCTCACTCCCTCATTTCTTTTCCCCTCTGATACCCCTTGTCTTCTATCCCCTCTCCCCTAACACCTCATTTCCCCTCCTCTCCGATCCCATGTCTTCGTACCCCTCTTCTCCCCTCAGCTCTGTCTGCTACCTGTCTCCTTCCCTCACCTCTGTCTCCTCACCCCTCTCTCCTCACCCCTCATTTCTTCTACCCCCTAATCCCAAAAGAACCCAAAGTGAAGTGACTAAGATTATGACAGGTGAGAGAGAGAGAGAGAGAGAGAGAGAGAGAGAGAGAGAGAGAGAGAGAGAGAGAGTTATCTTTCGTGACAAAGGGTTGATCAAAGACTTCAGTAATACACTTGTTAGTCTTTGATCAACTGGGCAGTGGCGACACACACACACACACACACACACACACACACACACACACACACACACACACACACACACACACACACACACACACACTAGCTCACCTGTGTGTTATAGGATCAACAGGTACACAAGAGAGCCAACAGGTAAACACAACACAGAGGTAAACAAATTGTATATAAATTGTACACACAGAAAAACCCACAGATGTAAACACAGTAACTTGAGTGTATACAATGGGGTTTACAGGCACACACACACAAACACGTACATACATACATACATACATACGTACATACACAAAAGACGACCTGGGACCTCTAAAGTACAAGTGGACGACTCCCTCAAGATCAAAACACTAGACGACCCTTCACCTAGCCTAGCCTCTCTCTCTCTCTCTCTCTCTCTCTCTCTCTCACCGACGGGGGTACAGGTTTGCATTCCAGACCTCTACAGGAAGGAAGGAGGATAGAAGGAAGGAGGAAGAAGGATAGGAGGAAGGAGAGAGAGAGGAGGTATGGAATTTATAGCTGGCTCATACGACACAGTTTGTATTTATGCTTTTATACGACACAGTTTATATGTATGATATGTATACGACAATCTTTATGTAAGCTATATATACGACACAG